AGCCAGGGCCTACATTTATCCTTTTCAAGTGTACATATGTCAGTGTTCATATGTCAGTGTTTTTTAGCATATCCACAGTCACACAACCCTCGACACTGGCTAATTTCAGAATATTGTCAACATCCTGTAAAGAAACCCTGAACACCCTCAGAGCCACCATTCTCAAACCCGATCCTCCCAGCCCTCAGTAACCACTAATCTACTTTCTGTTTCTATGGGCGTGGCTACTTGGGAAACTTCATATAAATGGAATTATATGATACATGGCCGGCTTCTTTCACCTCGCCTGATGTTTTCACTGTTCACCCATGCTACAGCATTGTATCAGTGCTTCGCTCCTTTTTATTGTGGAATAATGTTCCATTGTATGGCTAGAGCACATTTGTCCAGTCGTTCATTAGTTGATCGTCCTTTGGGTTGTTTCCACTTTCTGAGTATTATGAATAATGTTGCTACGAACATTTCTGTGCAGGTTTTTGACGTATGCATTATTGACATATGTTTTAAATTAGCTTGGGTATATACCTAGGATTGAAAATGCTGGGTCACATGGCAACGCTATGTTTAACATTTTGAAGAACTGCCAGACTTTTCAGAAATGGCTGCACCATTTTGCAGTGTTTCCAGCATTGTATACAAGTTCCATTTTCTCCTCATCCTTGCTTACACCTTAACAAATTTTTTTTTAGCCTTCCTGCCATGGGTACTTTTTAAGCATTTGGTAACAAATTATTTTTTTCCCCCAAAGCAAATGCATTTAGTAAGTCAGTCTCAGGAATTTAAAAAAGAAGTGAGCTGAGCTTAAAATTCTTCCAGCTGTGGAGAGTCACTGGCAGGTTGTGGGGCTGGGCAAGTCTGTTGCAGCCAGACCGGGTGCCAATTTCAGCTGGCCTGTGTGCCACATGTGGTAGGAAAATGACAGGTCGCCAACCCTGACATAGGTTTAAAGAAAGAGGCAGGAACACAAGTTACCCTGGGCTTGAAAAGCTGGGGCTGCTTCTTAGTACCTCACATTTGCCTTAAATGTGGTTCTTTGCAGAGGCGTTTTCCCCCTTTAAGCAAACCGACAAATGAAGCACTTGTTGGCCATAACTCGCTTCTGTCTGTGTGTGTGTCTGCCACTCCGTCAGGTGTGTGTCCTACCTGGGGAGTAGAATGGTTCCGAGTACAGCCTGGGGGTGGGGCCGGGACCAGTGCCAGCTCATTTTCAGATTAGGTATTTTGAAACAGAGTTTTAGCCACATGTAGGGTTTAGGTATCCGCCTGAGCAATCTATTTTCACTTGCAGGAAAATTTCAGACTGTAATGACTATAATGAGGCAGAATGGAGGGGAAAAGGAGGAAATTGTTTCTAACCTTTGGATATTAATCCCTACAAACCCCAAGTTTGAGACTGCCATACATAATCATTATTAACATTTATTGTGGGTATACTTTGTGCTTGACACCGCTCTTAGGGCCATCAGTATTGTTTTATTTAATCCTCATTATAGCCCTATGAAACAGGTATTATTATCGTGGTGGTTCCCCTGTTAGGAAATGGAGGCACACACAGTTGAAGTAACCACCCATTACCACACAGGTTTATAAGGAGCAGAACCAGCCGAGTGAGTCAGGTTGTGAGTGCTAAAGCCCAGACTCTTAGCCACTAGGGGATATTGTCACACGATAAAAGAGAGAAGAATGCAGGGGACTGTAAGAGGGGCAGGGACAGAAGCAGAGCTTCTGGGCTGGACCAGATAACTGAGAAGCATTTACTTATCCACTCATGGCTGAAATACTGAATGCTTGGCTTTCCACATTCCCTTGCAGCTAAGGGTAACAGTGCAGTCCTTATCTCCACTCTAATGAGAAGTACAGGGGGCATTTGCCTTGGGGTGGGGAGCAATGAGGGAAAGGATAGATTTTGGGAAACAGTTTTATATGAAAGAAAAAGGGAGAAAGACCATGTCTTCCTTGGCATCTATTCACTCTTCTGCTTCCTGCATTTGGATTTGGTTTGTGAGTTGATGTGATGCTTCAGCTCTGGCAGCCATCTTGCGCCCATGAGGCTCTAAACTAGGGACATAATGTCAATATGCTGAAGATGGTGGAGCCGAAGATTCCTGATGAAAACACACTCTGAAACTGCTTACCTCTAGACTTGTTATGTGCAGCAATTAAATGTCTTTATTGTTTTTGTGTCTGTGGAGAGGCAATAAAGTATAATAGTTAAGAATATGAGCTTGTGAGCCTGGGTTTATATCTTGACTTTAGCACTTAGTAGCTCATATCTTTGGGCACATTACTTGTTCAATGCCTCCATTTACTCATTTGTCAAATGGAGATAATAAAAGACCGAGAACAGAAAACTTGCAAGAATAATTCAAGAAACACCTGTGTGCCTTGAACCTAGATTTACTAATTGATAAAAGTTTGCCGCATTTGCTTACATGCATATGTGTGTATTTTTTTCCCCACCTGAATTATTTGAGCGTAAACTGTAGGCAGGCCGGTTAAGATTATTATCAATCTGGTAGCCTGCAGTTGCATATACAACACATAACCCAAACTAGACCCTTTGGACAAGTTCCTTTTATGAATTTGAATCTTGGGGTAGGGTGATAGAATTAATAAACTGATTTCCTTTCTCTTTTTCTTTCCTTCTCCCCCCCCGCCCTTTTCCCCCTTCTTCTTTCTTCCACAAGTATTTATTAAGTGCCTACTAAAGGCCAGGCACTAATCTAGGTGCTGGAGACACTGCCGTGAGTAGACAAATTCCCTGCCCTCTTGGAGCTTATAGTCTTGAGAGGGAGATGGACAATTAAAAAAAATTCAGATTGTGTTAATCATTCCAAAGAAAGTAAGGCAGGATCATGTGAATGAGTGTGTGGGTGTAGTGCTTAGAAGATCTACCTGAGGAAGAGGCTTTTCAGAAGAGATCTTAATGACAACAATGGGGAGCAAGCCAGAAAGGAAAATTTCAGACAGCAAAGAGAACAGCAAAGTGAAAGGTCCCGCGCGCAGGAGCATGCTTGGTATGTTCAGGAAACATCAGGAATGTTGGTGTCCAGCATGGGGTAAGAAATGAGAAGAGATATATTACTTGAGATCAGATAAGAAAGCAGAGACCAGATCAGTTAGGGTCTGGGTTTTCTCTCAAATGCAATGGGATGCCATTGGAACATGTTCAGGTTGGAAGTGACGTATGATAATTTATGATTTTTCAAAGCTCCCTCTAGCTACTGTGTAGGGAGTGGCTTACAGGAAGGCTAATGGGAGAAGCAAGGTGTGGTTCAGGTGAAAGGTCATGCAGGATCTTAACATTTCAGTTCTGGATTCTGAACATCGAACAGAGTATCATTATTTGTTGTTTGGGGGAGTGAATTCATCCTTGCAGCAAATATTGAATGAGTGCGTTCTATCACTAAGCTCCATAGCAGGCACTAAGACTACATCTGAGAACAAAAGAGACACAATCCCACCTTCATGGACCTTTCATTCTAGTGAGAAAAAGATAATAAATACTATAAGCAAACAAAAATATATGGTGTTTCCAATGATGAAAAGTGCTATGAAGAGAAACGAAACAGGGAAGAGTGGCAGGGAAAGCTGGGATTGGAGTGGGTGGAAACATAAAACAGAGCAATTAGGGAAGCCCTCACTGAAGAAGTGACATTTGGATGATGACCATGGAGAGATGAGGAAGTGAGAGCTTGGATTTTCTGGGAAAAAAGTGAACTAGGCAGAGAAAATAGCAAATGCCAGCTCTCTGAGGCCAGAGTGTGCCAGGCATGCTGGAGGGACCCCAAGGAGTCACCAGTGGGTGGACCAGAAATGACTGATGAATTTAGAAAGGGAAGGGGAGGGGAGACACAGGATGTGTGAGGCTTAACTAAAAACATTTTGGAGGAGAGACAGTAAGTGACTTGGTTTTCACCAAGATCCTTCTGGCTGCTATATTGAGAATAGACTCCAAGAAGACAAGGGGGAATGCAAGCAGAGAGCAGTGAGGAAGCTAGTGCAACAGCCCAGGTGGGAAACGATAGTGGTGGAGCTAGTAAGTGGTTATTTATTGTATTCTATTCATACTGAAGACATTTAATATTGATTCAATATTATTGTCTAATATATAGTCCATATAAAAAATTTTCCCCAAAGTCCTTTCTACATTAAAAAAAAACACAAAAAACAAAACAAAGCTTGGATCCAATCAAGGCTCACATATTGCATTTGGTTTCCACCTCTTTCAAGCTAGGTGTTTTGTAGCATGCACTGCATTCTGGATTTGTCTGATTGTTTTTTCATAGTTAGGTTCAGTTTAGCGCCTTAAAACAAAACAAAACAAAAACAAGAATACTACCAGGATGGCGTTATGACTTTCCCATTGCATCATATCAGGAGTCACATAATGTCAGTTTGATCTATTGTTGGTGATGCTAAGTGATGGTGATCAGTAATTGATTACTTCGTTCAGGTGCTGTCTGCAGATGTTTCCAGAAAAGCAAGCTGTTTCCCAGTTGTAAATGAGAAGTACTCAGTGGCATGATACTTGAACAGTGAATATATCGTGCCTATTCTACAGCCCAACAAGCTTTTACCCAGTGACTTGAGCATCTAATGAAGAGCCCCGTTGCTTCTGACCTTGTGCCTCAGTTTGCTCCTCTGAACAATGAGGATAATAGTGGTCCCTAAGGGATGCTCATTTTGAGGATCAGTTCTACCACACAATAAACGCTCATTAAGTATTACAAATTACTGGACCAATACAAGTATGAAAAAAATTAAGGGTAGAGGTACATTCCAGTTCTCTCCTACCCCGCAGCAGCTCCCAGGTGATTAGAGCGCCAGAGCCCGCGAAGGGTCCACCAAGCCACGCCCTCGCGTCGCGGAAGCCGTGCTGGGCAGGGGCACCCAGCACCCAGGCCGCGCAAGGCCCCCTGGGACCGGTAGTGCTGGGCGTGGCCCGGGGACTACATATCCCGGCGGTCCCCGCGCCGTGGCTCCAGCCGCTGGCTCTTCAGCCCTTCCACAGCGACGGCGGCAGCCGCGGTGGCTGGGTCGGTGGCGGAGGCGGCGGCGGCTGTGGCGGCTGCGGGCTGAGCAGCGAGTTTCCGATTTAAAGCTGAGCTGCGAGGAAAATGGCGGCGGGCGGTGAGTGCAGATAAAGGAGGAGCAGCAGCGGGCGAGGGAGTGGGTGCGAAGCGGGGGGAAGAGGACGAGTCTCCGGGGCTGCCGCGAGCCGGTGGCTTCGGCTGCGCGGAGGCGCAGAGGGGCGCGCCGAGCGGGGGGCGCTCTGAGAGAGTTTCGGGGTGCCGGGGCCGCGCCGCTTCCCTGCAGCCGGGAGGCAGCCCAAGCTGGGCGGCAGCCGGCTTGGGACTTCGAGGGGTTCCCGCGGGGAGGGGTTACCCCGAGGAGTTTGGGGGACCGTGGGGGCCCACTTCCCCCTCCTGCCTTTAAAGTTTTATCTACCTCCCGCCTCCCCAGCCCTTGAGGGCGGCTTTTGGGAGCTGCCCGCGTCCCCCTCTGCCCGCTGCCGAGGCTCCTTCGCAGTTACTCGGAGGAATTAGGAGGCGGAGGAAGCCGCGCAGATCCCCTGCCGACCCCCACCCTGCCTCCCGGTCGTCTTCAGGCTGGGGTCGGATTTTGCTCTGTTTACTCCTGCACTCGGGCGTTTTTAATATTTTTCACACCCATTATCTGCCGAATTTCCATTTTGGGCACGGGTGGGTTCTCAGCAGCTTTCTCAGTGAAAAGGCATTTTGCTACCTCTGGTGTGAAGGCGGGGATATGGCAAGTGGGAAGTTGGTGGGTACATTTCGGGTTTGGCTGCCTTTATTACGCCCATTCCCCCCACCCCCCATCTCTAATCTTCTTACGGGCATCGGTGCCGTTTGTAGTGATTTAAAGAAACTGTTCGTCTTGCACATGTCTTAAAAAAAAACCAAACAAACCCCCAAACAACAGTCCGAGTCTTCGGAAGGCTCGGTCGCTCCCCAGGCAGCTCGTGGGCACTCGGGGTGGAAAGTTAACCCGAAGAGCAGTTGTCAGAGGGACAGAGCATCGTCCCCGGATCTCCCTCCGCGGGGAGGTCGGGATTCCCACCCGGACCGGCACGAAAGGTGGCGATTGTCTCCGAGTCAGAACTTTGCTTTTTTGCCCCCCTGCCGAATGCGAATGCGAAGACTTCCCATTTGCAGTTTTCGAGCAGCGCTTCAAAGCCAAGCTGTTTTTGTTATTACGCCTGCCCCGCGAAGAAACAGGAAGGCGAGGACCAGCTGGCGCGCCGCGGCGCGTTTCAATGGGGCTGAGCGGGAGTGCTGCAGCGCCGGGGTTTAAATGCCTGGCCTCCCAGCGGCCCCCGGCCGCGAGAGCGCGGCGGCGTTCGTGGCAGCAGGTTGTTGGGAGGAGGAGGATAACGGGGAAAAGAAATCACAGGTCTCCAGGAAATGCCGCATAAACGGAAATGTTAAACGGAGACTCGCAAGTTTGTGAACTGCTTGCTCTAATTTAATTATTGCTTACTTAGGGTAGGTTGCATCAGATATGCTACCCACCTGGAAAGGTACACAAACGTTGAAAAATGAGTGTCTGCCCTCCTCCGACCCCTCCAGTTCCCTTTTCCTAGGAGTCAGCGACTATGACTGGTTTCTAGAGTATCCTTAGTCTTTGGGATAATTATTTTGTTAAGGTTTTCATTCAAAACACACCCCTGTTGAATACCAAAAGCAGGGGAGTGAGATGAACAGAAGAAAGGGAAAATGGGTGGGAATATTGTTTTATTTTCAGTGTCTTAAAAAAATGTTTAGCTATTAAAACTTAACTGCTTATGTTGCCTTATCTACTAACACCCTTAAAGAAATAACAGTCTGTGAGGCTTGAGGATGCAGAACCCTGCTGGGTTCATTGTTTGTATGTAAAACGAGCCTCTAACATGTAAAATGATATTGAACACTATAGCTCCTGTCACTGGAGGTTGCTTCAGGTTCTGCATTTAAATGAGCAGCAGTCTAGATCGCCTGTGATCCTAAACTACAGACATATTTTATGTATTGATAGAAGTGACTTAATTGTTCAATCAGCATTAGAAAAAGGCATATGGCAGCTTCTAGCATATGAAAAGTAAATTTTGGATGTGAGGATCATGGACTAAGTGGGAAGCTGTGGTGTTTCTAGAGCAGTGATACGAAATGTTTGTACCATGAAATATTCCTTAACTACAGAGGCTTTGAAAATGCAGAACAACTCCAGCATAGTTAACAGGATTTCTATTTTTACGTGTTAGAATGGTGGTTTTGAATTTACTAAGATTTAACAAATTCATTAAAAAATGCAATGATATTAGAGCTTAGGGTATTAAAGATTATATTAAATATTTTCATTGTATTGTGCATTTTCCCTCCTGTATAAGAATTTTTTCTATAAGTCACCTCCTACCCTCTAAGCACGTAAGTTAAAATTGATTCAGTAGGACTTAATGTACTGGTTGGGCCCTGGACCCCTTTCCTGGGGGAGACATGTAAATAAAAAGAAGTTCTCGAAATGGTTACTTCCTAATGCCTTCTTGACTGGTCTCTTGAAATTAACTTCCTTACTATGTCAGGGACATATTAAAGAGTTTACAAAAATATGAAAAATTCAGTCTTTTGTGTATTAGCAGTATGATCTTAGAATGGTTCCTTTTTAACTTTTTTAACTTGAAGACTACTTTGTTTTGAGAAGTCTTTGAAAAGAATGATTAAACATTTTTACTTTATTTTGGTAAGATAACAAACTATTCTATCCTTAATTGGTATTAAAATAAATGGCTTTAGGGTTTTTGTTTGTTTTGCATTTTTTTTTTTTAAGCTGTATGATTTCAAGCCTTGGCCAGAGGATGTAGACTACTTTTGAAAATTTAATTTGTTGCAAGTTTGGAATGAATATAGCCTGCAGTTATTATTTGTCTACACAGCAAAGGGACCACAATTTAACACAGTTGTTACTCTTTTAATCATGATTGAAGAGGTACTGCGGTTTCTCATAGGTTAAACCAGAGAGAACCTGTCCCAGTTTGGTTTGAATTTATTATACTTTGTAGTGAAGAATATTCCCTATTTGCATTATTGAGTGGTTATGGCTTTGGGAGCAGAAAATTAGTGTTGAAATGAATGTTAACTTTTCTTTTTCCTCCTAGTTCAGATGAAAGAAAGGGATGACTATTAGTTTAGATCCTCAGGGATAGCATTGAGGTTGAATGCTGCAGTGAAATGTAGGCATTTTCTTCCATTTTGAGTGCTTTTTGGGGTGGGGGGTGGTTACAAAATGAACATTTCACAGTTGAAGTGGATGGGGTGCTTGCTGTATTGTATGAGGCTTATTTCTCCACTTTGTTAATGTTTTCGAGGTAAATTCATTTGGCCCATTTGGTTTTCTGACGGGGTGTCTAGGAGATTATTTTGTGTTAAGGATGCAGTTTATTCAGAACCTAACCTTATTTCCAGCCCCCTGACAAACAATGGGATTGACTTAAATTGAATCGCCTCTCCCTTTCCAACTTCTGCTGGAGAGTTGTTAAATGAACAGGAAAATGGCCAGAAGATGCACAGCAGGAGTAGAAGGGAAGGCTGCAGTCAGTGTCTAGGAGGCCGGTTTATCCACAAACTGGATAATCTTCTTAGACTACATGCTGCCACTTCCCACCTTTGTCAGCATTAACTCAGTTTGGTAGGTTCTGCTGACCTAGGTCAATTAGAGGGGACAGTAATAAAGGTTTATTTTACTAACTGCAGTAAACTCGGTGGCCTAGAGGCAAAGGAAAGAAGTCTGACCTGAGGCACACAGGCTTTACCTGTTTCAAAGCGTATTCTAAAGAGCAAATGAACTAGTCTTTTCTGTTTGTTTGTCCTTTTACCTTTTTCCATTAGGAACCCTGTATCCTATTTTTTTTTGTTGTTAATATTTTTCTTTATTGCTAAGTTGTGGGAAAGAGTGTAACTTTTTGCCTGCTGTTCACCTATGAAGGTATTCTGAAATGTTGAATTTCCCTGGTTAGAGGCTCTGAGGTTTATGAAGTGTGACTTTCCGGTCAATAGACTGACTTAGATTACTGATTTTAACCCATCATCATCCACATCATGATGAAAAGGGAATACTGGCCTGGGTATTACATAGTAGTGGATAATCTACTGTTCCCTGTGGCTCTGCTTTTGGCAGGTAGCTATGGCAGCAGAGTTGGGTTGAGTAAGTTGGAAAGTGGTAGATGGATAGATGGAAAAGGACTGCAGAAGTCAGCATAATCCTCAATTAGGATAAGCCTCACAGTTAATTGAATGTTGAGTATACAGGTTAAATCCCATTATAATAAACTCCAGGGAAGTAACTAAATTATTATGTTGTATTGGGATTGAGCTTTATTGAATGCTGTTTAAAATAAATTAGTCTTTTTGTTAGAGATGTGGGGAAATTTTCATTTGTTGTAACATTTCACAAGTTATTCATGGACCAATATGTTTCACCTTCATTTTTAATGCTTTCGCCTTTAAAAAGGAAAGAACCCATGTTGAGCTGGGCAGATAATTTATATACCCCTTCCTTCCAATCAAATAACTTCATTGGTTTATCTTAACAACCAAATAAGTTTATTAGAGTAAGAACTGCCACCATCAAAGTGTGGTCAGAGGAAATGGAAATTTCCCCAGGTTTCCAGGTAACTACTGCTGGTAATTTTTTCTGCCCTGACAACTTTTTAAAATGAATGAATGCACTTCATTTTGGTGTGAACTTTCCTTTGTCAATAATAATTATTGGGCTGAATAATTTCTGTTGAACCGGTGTAGTTTGGGACCTTTAGATTGTTTAAAAAAAAGTGATGGTACTATTATAATCTTTAAGATACCTCCATATAAATAAGAAAATTTTCAGAAACAGGATTAATACACATATGAGAAAATACTATTTTTATGCTTGGCCAGAAATATATTCTTTCTGTTTTGCCAGACTCCAGGCATTTACATCCCATCTTTCAAAGGTTAGCATTTTTATTTTGGGTAGAGAGTTTTGATTGGGTGCATGCAGCAAGACATGTTCAAAGTCATTCTTTTAAATACACGTTCCATGAAGGAGGGAAAAATCTGAAAGAGGGAATTTCAAACAACCCAAGCAGTGTTTTGAAG